TTTTGGTAGAAAGTTCATGAAAGTGTTAAGTGCACTATCGAGTCAGGCCAAAGATGTATTTTACCTTCCTTTTGACAAAAGCACTGGTGCATGTTTGTGGACAACAAAGTATTCAACTTACAAAGAGAGTCACCTTCACCCTGATTTTACTAACATTTTCTTTGTTATACATTATGGATAGAACATCTTTAGGTTGATCAGCATTCACTCAAGAGAATACTTGAGATGTCTCAAGAGGGAGTACATAACTTCACTCTGGAGGCTAAAGGTTTTGAAGTAGTCCCTCTCTTTTTTCGGCAGCCTTCGCTACTATTTTATTTTTCCTCTTCCCCTGTCTTGTTTATTTTGTTATTAGGAAGTGAGGAGTCCCAAGGAGAAATACATCGCAGCATGTCTGAGCCAGGGCCTAGCAGCAGCAGATATCACAGTGAGTGGGGATGAAGTTCAGGAGCATTTATAANCACCGTGCTCAACCAGTGAGCAGACCGGTCTCTATATGGGATCCAAACCCTCGGCGGGAGCACTGCTGTGCTCCCAAGCGCCGCACTCTACCGAGTGCGCCACCGGGCCTGCCCAATTTTAGTATAATTTTGAAAAATGTTTTTATACCTAAAATTTTAAACTCCTCATACTGATATTTTCCCATGAGAAAATCTATTAGTATTTTTGTTATTTTATTAATGACAAAAGGGTGTAGACTCATAGATAATTTAAGGAGAACAGTTCATTTTTTTTTTATATAACTTTTTAAGATGAAGAATAATCACATTCTCCTTATTCACGTAAACTCTGAATTGCTTTACTTAAATGCTGTTTATTTGCCCATTGTAATTAATTTTTTTCCTAAAATACAAGGCTAGTTAAGGTATCTTACTATTAAAATGTTCATAAATCAGAGAAATATTACCTGAGATAGTAAAATGTTGCTGCTTCTAGCAAAAAAATAAAAGCCAAGGGTTCATGTAAATGTATATATTTGTATTTATCTGTTTGAAGTAACTTGAAGAAGGCGGCATGTTATTACATTTGAATTTTTTTTTTAATTTAAAAAACTTTTTGAGTATAATATAATTCAGTGAATTATGTATTTTAGGGCTTTAAGATTTTGTCATAAATGTGTTTCTAGAATGGTTACCTCTAACAGCAGCTTTAGAAATGTCAGTTTCTTCATTAACAATTTTATTTTCAAACACAATTTATGGTTTACAATATGGTAAGAGATTTTTCTCACTGTGTGATCTTTCAGAATGCTGTGCCTAGCAAAATGGGAGCAACTTTCCTTTAATATCTATTTAGACCATTTTAAAAACGTATATAATTTTCTTGATACACCTAAACTCATTTTGAATAGTTGGGGGTCTATTGTGTAAGAACACATTCTGAAAGCTTTCAAAATGTGTATTGTGTAGGTTTTCTCAAAGAAAGAGAGGGGGTGATGGGGTGGTTTTCAAGAAGAACAGAGGCCTCTAATCCTTTTATTTTTATGCAAGGCATAATTTTTACCAATTGAGAAAATTTGGTTATTTGCTGCAAGTAATTTTTCCCTTCACGAATGATAAGCCTTAAAAGACCATTCATGCGTATTTTGG